CTGCTTGGCAATGACTCCACTTGTTTCCCTGTCTATTCTCCCATTTTTCCAACACTATAAATTGCAGCAGTCACAAACATGAACTGCTTTTGAAAAGCCACACTAAGTTAAAAATTAAAAAATGTGGTCTTGCCTCCCACTCCTTCTTTTCCTGATGAGTGACTAGCCACGATATTTAGATTTTGGTGGACAGGTCTGTCTTAAAGTGCCATACATCGCAGCTGAAAGCCATCTGGGTAAACTGCCATTAACTATTTGCATGTGGAAAATGGTAAAGAATGTAAGAGAATGTGAATTGCATCAGGATTCCGGGTACAGAAGCGTATAAGGGCAATGATGTCTCCAAGCAGAGTAAGAAGGAATTTGTACAAGCCTTTGATTCTCTCTGATTTTTTTGAAAGCACAAAGAGGCTTCATATTTAATTTATAGTGTTATATAAGCTGCTGCTGCTGCTGGGATGTGTGTGTGTGCATATGCGTGTATGCGTGTGCGCGTGCGCGTGCGTGTGCGTGCGCGTGTGTGCGCGTGTGTGTGCGCGTGTGTGTGTGTGTGTGTGTTTTCCAGCATAATCCTGACTGTGGTAGTTTGGATTTTGCATTATGGGGGCAACCACTATTCTACCATCTGAATACTCATTCTAGAGGGCTAAACCCATGAGAGCAAAAGTATAGAAACAATTTTGCGGTGCTGGTGGCATTTCCCTTGCCTACAAAGCCAATTTTAACTGCACAAAACCCTCAGCACATTGCATTTGGGAAATGCAGTGGCTGCACATTAAGCTGTTACGAATAACGGCTGTTGGGATGGAATGAAATGGAAACAAATCTGCATTTTATTTGCACTCTCTCTGCAATTCCATGCCATCCAGACTGCAGTTACGTTCTGTGCACAGCACCACTGCCAAAAAGGGTGAGTTTTGCTGGGAAGCATTATCATACTTTGATTTTTAGCCACGCAGTCATTTGAAACTGTGGCTGTTCTTTCCTGACGCTGGCCACTGAACGTTATAATATAGACGGTTTGCTTCCATGGGAGAAAATATAATCCAAGTCAAGTCTAATTTGACTCAGGCACATATCTAACTCTCCCCTTCTAATTTAGAGGCAATGAACCTAGGGTAAGAGCTGTCAGGCTGGTCTCTGGGACTGTGAATATTCCTTTGCTTAAGGAAGCATGAGAGTTACATTGGCTGATTTTGGCATTCATTTTGTAACTTCCTGGCAATGGACCTAAGTTGAAGGTAAGCACTTTAACATAATCCGTATTTGTCTTATGAAGTTGTAACATACTAGGGAAGAGGATGAGAATAATCCTAAATATTTGTGCAGTGAGAGGGGCATGAGTAAGAAAATCATAACACAGCCTAGACCATTTAAAATGATAGTCATAAGACCATATACTAAGAATGGAAAAAAGAAATGCTAAATGCGGCTGTCTGCACAGTCTAAGTATTAAGGTAATATTCCTTTGTACTTTTTCATTACTTCTACCCATCCAATTGGCACCCAGTATAGGACGCTAGGGACGATGCCATTTTTATTTGGTTTCTAGGTGTGATGGTTAATATTGTCAACTTGATTGGATTGAAAGATAGGAAGTATTGATCCTGGATGTGTCTGTGAGGGTGTTGCCAAAGGAGATTAACATTTGAGTCAGTGGGCTAGGAAAGGCAGACCCACCCTCCCTCTGGGTGGGCACCATCTAAACAGCTGCCAGTGTGGCTAGAATATAAGCAGGCAGAAAAATGTAAAAGGAGAGACGGGCCTAGCCTCCTGGTCTACATCTTTCTCCTGTGCTGGATGTTCCTGCTCTTGAACATCGCACTCCAAGTTCTTCAGTTTTGGAACTCAGACTTGCTTTCCTCACTCCTCAGGCTGCAAATGGCCTACTATGGGACCTTTTGATCATGGGAGTTAATAATAAACTCATATATATATATATATATATATATATATATATATATGAGGCTACTGGGCAGAGAGCTGCTCAGAAAGGCCTCCTACCCGTTTGTGATATACAGTATTTTTTTTTTTTTTAGATGGAGTCTCCCTCTGTAGCCCAGGCTGGAGTGCAGTGGCATGATCTTGGCTCACTTGAGACTCTGCCTTCCGGGTTCTACTGATTCTCCTGCCTCAGCTTCCCAAGTAGTTGGGATTACAGGCATGTGCCAGCACACCCAACTAAATTTTTGTATTTTTAGTAGAGGTGGGGCTTCACCATATTGGCCAGGTTGGTCTCGAACTCCCGATCCGCCCGCCTCAGCCTCCCAAATTGCTAGGATTAAAGGCATAAGCTGTTGTGCCCAGTCAAGAATTTTTTTTAAATGTTGCATTAAGCACTGAGATTTGGAGGAAGGGAGGTTATTAAAGTAGTTAATGTTTACTTACTGATATAGTTTGGCTGTGTCGCCACCCAAATCCCATCTTGTTGCTCCCATAATTCCCATATGTTGTGGGAGGGACCCAGTGGGGGATGATTTACTTATGGGGGCGGTGTTGTTCACTTGCAGTTCTCGTGATAGTGAATGAGTCTCACCAGATCTGGTGGTTTTAAAAACGGGAATTAATCTACACAAGCTCTCTTTGCCTGCTGCCATCCACATAACATGTGACTTGCTCCTCCTTGCCTTCCACCATGATGGTGAGGCCTCCCAAGCCACACAGGACTGCAAGTTCAGTAAACCTCTTTCTTTTGTAAATTGCCCAGTCTCAGGTATGTGTTTATCAGCAGCGTCAAAACGGACTAATACGCTTACTTTGACGAATATATTGTTGTTCCTTTGCCTTTTTTATTATTTTTGGAGACAAGGTCATGCTTTGTTTCCCAGCCCGCATGCAGTGATGTGATCAGAGCTCACTGCAGTCTCGAACTGCTTGCCTCAAGCAGTCCCCCTACCTCAGCATCTCAAAGTGCTGGGATTATAGACATAAGTCACCATGGGCAGCCCATTGTTCCTTTTAAAATGGGGGAACAGTGACATTTTAAAGGTCGTACCTCAAAGGTTGGGTTTGAAGTGAAAGCAAAATTCTGTTTAGAAACTGGATAACAGCTGATCATAATGAAACCAGCTGGCATTTGTGTGTTTGTAGACACTTGGCACACCATTTTATACAACCCTCATGACAACTGCACAAGAAAATATTCTTATCTCATTCTAATGATGGTAGGAAGCTGGTAGGAAAGGTCTCAGAACTTGGTAGGAAAGGTCACGGTTATACAAATTAAGTAGGAATTCCAGAATTTGAACTCAGGTGTGTCTGATACCAAAGGTGACACTCAACACAATCGCCCAGATGAGACATGCAAGGAAACTTCTAGCCAATGTAGGTTTTAAAAAGTGTAATCAATGAATTGTCACATATTGAGCTTTCTGTGTCCTACATACTATGCAAGATATGATGAGGCAAGAAAAAAAAAAAAAAAAAAAAAGAATCCCATTGTATGGTCCTCAAATATTTTAAGAGCAATAAAAGTGGTGGCAGGTTGGAGCCATAGACAGTAGTACCTCCCTCTTCCTCAGGTGCTTCTGTCTCTGCCTGGTCGTTTTCTAGTTCTCTGAAAGCTATGAATTTTATGAGTCACATTTCAGCACATTTACTGAATGTTGCGTAGAATTACTGGGTTTTAGGCCGGGCGTGGTGTCTCACGCCTGTAATCCCAGCACTTTGGGAGGCCAAGGCGGGTGGATCACGAGGTCAAGAGATCGAGACCATCCTGGTCAACATGGTGAAACCCCGTCTCTACTAAAAATACAAAAAATCAGCTGGGCCTGGTGGCGCGTGCCTGTAATCCCAGCTACTCAGGAGGCTGAGGCAGGAGAATTGCCTGAACCCAGGAGGCGGAGGTTGCGGTGAGCCGAGATCGCGCCATTACACTCCAGCCTGGGTAACGAAAAAAACTCCGTCTCAAAAAAAAAAAAAAAAAAAAAAAAAGAATTACTGGGTTTTAGGGAATTTTTATGCCATATCAATCAATAAAGGGTCTCAGTTTGTATCTCACTTGTCTAATTTATTAGCAGTGTGAGCTTGGATCATACAACTCAATATGCTACTGTATCAGTTTCTTCATCTGTAAGACAGGGGTGATGATAATAATAGCAATGTCCTCATAGAATTGTTGTGTGGCACATAGAAATGGCCACAGGAAGTGGCCAGTGTGTGCGTGTGTGTTCCTGCATTCTGTGAACACTGAGAATACTGAGTCAAGATTAGCTCTTCACACTTTTCCACCCTTTTCTGAACACGTAGTTGGTGGGTTGACCTGTCAAGGTCATCCTGGATGACGTAGACCTATTTCTCTCCTCTTTTTCCTTTAGTGTGTCTGAGGGATCACAGGGGTGAACACAGAGTCACTGTTTAGACCTCAGGATCCAACCTACACTTTTCTTAAGGTTATAACACTAAGGCCTTTAAGGCATAGGCTCAAATACTGACTGATTCTTTGGGCCTCTTTTGTAGAAGGCAGCTGTTTAAGATGGCCTGCCCCCAGTGATAATTTGCTTACTAGTATTTATGCCCTTGTGCAGTCTCCTCTTTCACTCTTTACCCCATCTCACCCAAGCGTGGGCTGGACCTAAATATTGGCTTTTTTTTTTTTTTTATTTTTGAAATGGAGTATTGCTCTGTCACCCAGGCTGGAATGCAGTGGCACAATCTTGGCTGACTGCAACCTCTGCCTCCCAGGTTCAAGCAATTCTCATGCCTCAGCCTCCTGAGCAGGAATTATAGGCATGCTCTGCGATGCCCATCTAATTTTTGTATTTTCAGTAGAGACAGGGTTTCACCATGTTGACCAGGCTAGTCATGAACTCCTGACCTTCGGCGATCGGTCCGCCTTGGCTTCCCAAAGTGCTGAGATTATAGGCGTGAGCCACCGCGCCTGTCCTGCTTCTCTTGCACAAAATACAACAACATGATGGATGTCACTTCTAAGATTAGGTTGCAAAGAGAGTGTGACATCTCTCTCTCATTTTATCTTTCTCTCACTCTGATAAGGCCAATCGTTATGTTGTGGGCTGCCTTACGCAGAGCCCACACGATAAGAAACTGCCACCCACAACGCACGAGGAGCTGAATCCTGCCAAGAACTCTCAATAAGTAAGCGAGCTTGAAAGTGGATGCCTGCCCAGTTGAACCTTGAGAGGAGACCACAGCCCCTGGCTAATGCTTTCATTGCTGTCTGCCAGAACTAAGAGTGAGAACATACGATGTTTGGTTTTACATTCCTGAGTAACTTCGCTTAGAATAATAGCTATGAAGATGCAAAGGCGTAACAATGACACAATGGACTTTAGGGTCTCAGGGGAAAGGCTGGCAAGGGGGTGAGGGATAAAAGACTACAAATTGGGATTAGTGTATACTGCTCAGGAGATGGGTGCACCAGAATCTTATAAATCACCACAAAGAACTTACTCATGTAACCAAATACCACCTGTTCCCCAGAAACCTTTAGAAATAAAAAGAATTTAAAAAAAAGAACTGAGTAAGAGAACCCAGCTTAGCTAGCTAGCCCCTGATTTCTGACCCACGGGTACTGCCAGCCAATAAGTGTGTGTTGTTTTGAGCCTCTAAGTTTGGAAATAATTTGTTATGCAGCAATAGATAACTAATATATCTTTCTCTATTAGGGAATTTTTTTTAAAGATTCAGACAGAATGTGGGTTATTGGCATGGCAGTAGTGAGAAATTTCTGAGTCTCCAGCATAATACCATCACAACTGCACCAACATCTCACCCCTCGCCATTGTTAACTACTCTTGATATCATCGAAATCCTATAAGCACAGAAGGTCTTTTTTTCCTCCAGAAATTAGGGAAGGCAGGACCAGACAGATGTGAAAATCAGTTAAACTGAACCAATATCAAATGTATTGTATGTTACAAATACTTAGTTTGCATTTTTTTCTTGTTTTATTATACATATATTTTCAAATGTATATGGTTACCTTTTCTGAGAAGCTACTGTGCACCAGTTCATTTATAGATTATCTGGTTTAAATTTTAGAAAACCTAATGGACTGTTACTAGTTTTTTCATTTTAGAGATGAGATCTTGGAGTTTAAGGAGGACAAGTCACTCACCGCTCCGCCAATCACTGGTGGCACTTGGACTGTTCCCTAGGAATGCTGGATTTCAAAGCCTATTCCTGTTCCTCTACTCCAAGCTACCCTGAGGGCAGAAAACATGTCTTCATCTATCTTTGCCTTTCCAACAGCATATGGTCTCTTTTCTGACACACAGTGGGTGTGAACATTGATAAAATATTTAACAAAGGTTAGCAAAGAAATAAACTCAAAAGCCGTATCTAGGTCAATTCATTTTTGTGTGAACAGAGGGACATTTTTATCTCTAACCCAAGCTGTTGAGGCTGAGTTTACATTTTCTAGTCTGTCCCCAAATTTGGCTTACTGCAGAGAAGAGCACTATTGGGTCATAATGGTTGTCTTTCCTCTACCATGTAAAATAAAGAGATTTAGATCCTGAAGAGAGAGCTACTCAGGAAAAACAAGCAGAGCTACAATTCCGGGTTACCTTGTCGTTAGCTAGACATTAAATACCAACTCCTAGAATTCATTCAATCATTTATTCATATATCCATTCACGAATGAATGAACGAATGAATTCATTCATTCATTCGTTCGTTCATTCATCTCCCAGATGGTTTTTTGCCTGAACTCACCCCACTACTTAGGTTTGACAAAGAAACATGGCACAGTCTTTGATTATGACAGGCTCAGTCATGCTGAATACATTTTGTTCTTTCATACGACATTCTCCTAAATGAAAATAATATTGCTGATTGTAAAAGATGATTATAAAATACAGGGTCAAAACATTAAAAGAAAAATTCACTATAATCCCCCACTTAAATATTAATAACTGATTAACATTTGGTTGCATTGCCTTCCAGACTTTTCTATATATAGTTTACAAGTACGATATACTATAAGTACCATTTTACAGCCTTTTCTTTACTTAACATGGATGTTTATATATTTTCATTTTATTAGATATTCCTCTACAATGCCTTTTTTTTTGGTCTAAAAATTGTTTCACTCAATTGCTTTACACTACTTCATTTAACCATGGCTTGGAGGTATTATTCTTAATAGTATTATTGTTATTAAAATAAAATAAAATGAAATAATGAAACACTGATGTTGGCAAAGGTGTGGGAAATGAAAATACCCCCCAAACTTCACCTGTTTTACTTCTTTTGCATTAGTTTTTTAAATTACTTTTGGGTAGCTTGACACATCTTTAATTTAAGCACTAATTATTGTACATAATGCAGCTACACCTGTGGTGAAAATGCTTTTTATTAGCATTAAAACTAAAGACATCAAAGAATCATATCAGGATAAAACGTTTATTTCTAATTTAATAGAATTGCAATTAAAGCAAATTTGATCTGAATGAAATCCCATCATAACTGGACTTTTTTTTCCTACACAGTGAGCGAAAATTATTCTCCCCTAAATTGAAGATTAATGACATGTTTTTAATGTTAAATGTAGCAATTCAAGCATTAGGTTGCAATTCAAGTTCAACATCATTGAACATTTTATAAACTTCACATTTTAACATCTCTGAAAAGCGCTCTGAGGTTAAAGCATTAGCATTAAATGCATTAATGTTATTTTTCTTTATAAATGAGCTTATAACGGTGTTGTTACCTTCATTTGAATATTTTAATGAAGGGATAATATAAGGAGAGTGCTCCATTTTCACAAGGTAATTGTCTCTTCCCTGAGTGGCTAAACTTGGACAGAAAGTGGAGTTTATCTCATTGAAATTCTATTATGGCTGCATGGTTGCTGTTACTTGTTAGAGCCTTTCATTACCTGGTAACTGGGACTTTTGGCTGATGCTCTTCCTTCCCGTGACATCCAGTCTTCTGCTGTCCTACGGTGTAATCCTATCCTCTGGCAAGTCACAGCAGCAAACCTTTGGTATCTTGCTCTAGGACTCACTGACTCAGCACTTAAACTTTAGCTGGATGGAGAATTCTGATTTAAATTAAGTTCAGGCCACGTTGGTAAAAAGTAAGCTAAATCTGCATTAGAAATGAAAATGATGGAAAGGTATGCAATCTCTCTCAAATTACTCAAAGCTGAGTTTGTACTTTTGGTAGCTTCATTGCAAAAATGGCCCCATTTTTATTCCTTTTGCTAAAGTCACTCTACTTACCATGCTGCTTTTCAGATTCACTCATCAAGAGATGGAGTCTGAGTCTTCACTCCCTGCATCTCGGCTGGCCTTGTGATTGGCTTTTGACTAACAGAATGTGGCAAAAGAGATGCTTTTCATGGGTCCACTCTTGGTCTTAGACCTGTGCCTCCACCATGGCAACAAGTTCAAGCTAGCCTATTGGAGAATGACACCTTGTAGAGGAGAACCAAAGTGCTCCACCCAACAGCCAGCCATCCCTCACATGCAGAGCCACAAAAGCTAAATGCAGCTCATAACAGACTCAGGAGGAAGCCCAGCAAAGGTCCGAAGAACCACCCCACTGAACTCAGCCTAAGTTCACTCACAGTAATGAGCTAAATTAATGGCTGTTGAGTGGTTTATTGCTCAGCAACAGATAACTAATACAATATCCTCTCTCTGCCAGAGTCTGAGTGATTATGGATGATCTACTACTTTATCTGAGTTTTCTCATTCTCTTCTGTAAAATAAAAACAATAAGACTGCCTTATAGGATTGTCTTGAATTAAAGACAATAGATAGGAACTAGTATAGTGCATGTCAGAATAGTGCTCAGTATAAAGCTTAGCTGTCATTGATGTTGACTTTCATGTTTTGCTGTTCATTTTCATGATACATATCCAAACATTTCAATCAGTGATTAAGAATGAGTTATGGAGCTGGGCTGCCACCACTGCTTTCCTGGGACAGCCCTTATGAGCTGTGTGACCTTTAACAGCTTATGAAGCTTCTATGCCTCAGTGACCTTATCTTTAACAGGGGGATTATCATAGTACCTACCCCAGGGTTACTGGGGAAATTAAATCAGTAAAAATAGATAAAATGCTCAGGACCTTGAATGGTATAGTGTAGTCACTAGAATAAAAAGTAATTAGGCTGGGCACAGTGGCTCACACCTGTAATCCCCGCACTTTGGGAGGCCGAGGCAGGAGGACTGCTTGAGTTCATTAGTGCTAGACCAACCTGGGCAATATAGTGAGACCCTGTCTCTATGCAAAAAATATGATGAAAATTAGCTGGGTATGGTGGCATGCACTTGTAGTCCTAGCTACTTGGGGAGCTGAGGTGGGAAGATCACTTAAGCCCATCAGGTCGAGGCTGCAGTGAGCTATGATTGCACTTCAGCCTGGCACAGAGCAAGACCCTATCTCAAAAAAAATTAATAATTATTAATAATGAACAGACATGCGGCTTAAAAAATCTTTCTATATATCTAAGTAGATACATTTCTACTCATAGTATTTATGGATCTGATTTGATCTTTGGAATCAAGAAAATAAGGATTTTTCTGTAACAACTGTTACAGAAAATTTCAAATATATACACAAGGAAACTAATATAGTGAACCTGATTTACCTATTACTAAAACAACAATCATCAATACACAGCCAATCTTGTTCTTCTCTACCATCACCGACTCCCCATGCTCTAGGTTTTGTTGCAAATGCTGGGACATCACTTAATCTGTAAATGTTTCAGCATGTGCCATTAAAACATAACCTTCCTGAGTAATAACCACATCCCATTTTCACACCTAAAAATTGCAACAACTCATAATTTCAAATATTCCCTTTGAGCAAAAAATCCTCTTCCATCATTTCTATTTTTATTTTTTAATAAACTAGGTTATTTGTCATGTAGAATTTTCTATGGTCTGGATTTTGCTGATTATATCCAGTTAGGATGTTTTAACCTGTTCCTGTCTCCTGCATTTCTTATAAATTTACATGTAGCCTTAGAGATTTGTTGATATTAGGTTCAATGAGTTTGGAGCCACCAAAATCAGATTGATTGACCCACTCGATCACACTTCTTAGATGGCATTGTGCACATACTGTTTCATGATACTGTTCAACACTACTGACAATACTAGTAGCTGCCAGTTATGGACTCCACATTTGATAGGAGTGGTAGATGTTTAAAATGACATCTGTTCAAACAACTCTGCAAGGAGCTTTATATTTGTTCCATTTTACGGATGAGAGAGATTTTTAAAACTTGCTTGAATTTGGACTCAGAAATTAAGCCGAGTTCTCTCTGACTCCAAAATCCCTTTTCTCCACCATTCTGTGACTGCGCAGCAGATCGTACTATGGAGTTGAGTTGTACACAGCCCCAAATCCCCACACATGGATATTTAAGCAATTAGGTGTGTAACCCTCAACTAGGTGAAAGATTTCCGTTAAACATGGCTACATCTCCTCAGTAGGCTGCCAGTGGAGAGCCAAAAAAGCAATCAAATGTTCTGCAATACACTCTTCCCAGCATTTTTATGCAAAAAGATTGCTCTTAGTTAAATACTTTGCCCATGTTTTGATTTTTAATTTCCTCTTCTAATAACATAATGTGCTATTTAGAGCAAGGTTCAAATCAATATGGCATCACAGAACCTGTTAAACATTTTGGCAACTAAACTTCATTGTTGTCAAAGTACTTGGCTTTTAATAAACACGTTTCCACCTTGAGTCAAGGAGCAACAGGGAAGTGGGTTCCCTCACCCACACTTTTCCTATCTTTCTTAATGATGCCTAGCAACTGTGGGTTCTAAGTTACTTCTACATATCTTTCCTTCTTCTTTAAAAAATTTGTCTCTTTTTTAGTGTTTGAGTTTTATTTGTATATATATATATATATATACACACACATATACACAAATATAAATACATATGTATCTTTAATTTGTATTTGTATATATGTTTGTATATCTGTAAATATATTTGTATTTATACATATATATTTATATATATATATATAGATCTGTGTGTGTGTATGTATATATATATATGTTTCAACCAAACATGACCCTGTTCTATTTAATACATTTATTTATTTATTTATTTATGAGATGGAGTCTTGCTCCATTGCCTAGGCTGGAATGCAGTGGCACAATCTTGGCTCACTGCAACCTCCCACCTCCCAGGTTCAAGTGATTCTCCTGCCTCAGCCTCTCAAGTAGCTGGGATTCAGGCATACGTCACCATGCCAGGCTAATTTTTTGTATTTTCAGTAGAGATGTGTCTTCACTATGTTGGCCAGGCTAGTCTTGAACTCCTGGCCTCAGGTGATCCGCCCACCTCGGCCTCCCAAAG